GTTATTTTCTAGAGAGTTGTAATTTTCCTTTTATTGTATAAAATAAGTCTTATAAAAAGACTATTTTCTTTCGAATTCGTTGTAATCGACCGAAGATATAATGAATTCCACAATAGCATCAACTTTCGACGAAAACAGTCTGCGTATGTGGACTGCATCATTTAGGCCTTGATCGTATTTTCCTTCATTGCAGCCTTCATGTCTGTAAGGACCATGAATTTTCAATATTAATTTAAAAAAAAATTTTGGTATTAAATTATTATTTTAAAAAGAGTATTTATTTTTTGATTTTCTAGAATATACTATGATTTAAAAATCTAGTTTATATTTATGGTTTTGTTAATTATAAATTTAATAGTTGCGGTTAATATTTTTAGGTTGTTTTGGTCATTGATATTATTAATGATTTTGTTATTATTAATGTAAACATGAGCTTAGTACACTAGTACATATATATGTATATATAAATATTTAGTTGTTAATTATTTATTAATATTATTATATGTTTAATTATTAATTTAATAATTATTCTGGATATCATGTAAAATATTTCCCATAATCTTCTCTCCCCTTAATTTTTCTCCCGTTTAAATTCTTTCCATAATCTCCTCTAAATTCAAATCCAATCACCCCCCAAAATCACGTTCAAAATCATACACTTACCTCTCTCAAATTTTCTCCCGCAATCAAATTCTCTTTCTCTCTCCAATCTCTTCCTTTCAAATCCCCTAAAATATTCACTTTCTCTCTCTTCAATAATTCTCTCAACTCCAGCTCATTCTTTCTTTCTCTCTCCCTCAATCATTCACTCACGCAAAGAAATCCAGCTGGCCCAGCTCACATTTCCTTTCTCTCTTATTATTTCATCAGCTCCTCCTCATCACCTCAAGAACCACCTCCTCCTTCGTCGTCCGCCTGACACAACTCAGACGACCGCGAACAGTTCCAATGATCGATTCCTCCCGCCTCTCGTCCTCCTAGTGCCGCCTCAGTCGCTAAGCCGTCGCTCACCCGTGTGCCAGCGAATCGATACCTACGATTAGTTCCACAAGCTCCTCGTTGCCATGCTTCGGCGCCTCGACGAACTTTTAGCAGCGCCCTCCGCCACGTGCGTCGCCAAATCGTAGCAGTGACCAACGCCGCCTCAGCTTTCAGATCCGTTGAACCACCGTGGCCTCGCACGGCGACATCGATACGTTCGACAAAAATCCTAGGCAAGATCTCTTTTACTGTTGACTCGTATTTCTAATTTTTAGATATATTATGAATTAATGTTTCGATTAGATTGTGATTTGATTATGCTACAGTATGAAGATTTTGATAACTGGGTGGGTTTGTTGATGGTTGATATTAATAATGATATTAGGATAAGTAATTTAAAGGAATAGTTATTTTATGTAAAAGTGGTTATTTTGAGATGCCTTAGAATTATTAGGATGAGAAAAGAGATTATTTGAAAAATGAGTTGGTTTTGAATAATTATTAAAATAGATAATTTAAAATAATTTATTTTGGAAAAACGGGTTATTTTAAATTGTTCAACTAGAAAAGATTATTTTAGAATAATTATATGAATTAAAAGAATTTATTTCGGTAGCGGAATCATTTCTAGATAATTATATTAATTAAAAAGAATTTATTTGAGAACAGAATCATTTGAGGAAAATTATGATAATTTTAAAAGAAATTATTTTGGAAAAGGAAATATTTCTAAATTATGTAGACTCTGTTTATAATTTATAATTCTTAATCTTGATTATCTGATATGCTATGATATTATTACACATGATTAGTTGTATTGATTGTTCTTGATTGTGTTTGAGAACCCTTAGTAGTTCATGACTTAATGGCCTCGTGCGTTATGAACAGACTTAGTGACATGTGTGAGTGAGTTAACTGAGTTTAGGTGGTGAACCCGAGTTTCAATGAGGATTATGGTTGATTTAGAAAAACGAGAAGAGTTGGGATGAGGAAGTTAATGTTCATGTGATCGGATAAGGCTGTTGATGTATCTTCCAGACTCGTGTCAGTGGTTGGTGTTGCCACTGGGGTTGGTTTGTAGGGCTAAAGTGAAGTGTGTACATCACTTTAGTCAGTGAAATTATTTCATCACCCGAGTTGTGCTTGAGTTCGGACCAGGCAAAAAATGGTTTACGTGTAGTCCTTTGGCCGCATGTATAGCGGGATTGGATGCACGTAGGGGATTTGTGAACAGTCAGTATCCGATGATAGGAACATTGACTCTGTGTGAGATGTGACCAGTGACCTGTTATAGAACGGCTATTTACATGACCTCGTTTCTTGGCTAGGTATGATTTCTTGTGAGATGTAGTTCAGTTGTGTTTCTTTTCATACATAGATCGAGATTAATATTTAATTATTTACAATTCGAGACATATGGTATATACATAAGGGTTTCCTTGTTTGGATTATTTCGCTCGACGTACTACGTCTCGAGTTGTAGATTTTTAAGTATTAATTCCATCTAGCTGTATGACCTTATGACTTGTATGATTAGACTGATCGCTAGCTACGTGATCTCGTTACCTGATCGATTTTGGGTGCTTTATGTTATCATGATTTAGTAGTGTTTTCATGTTGATTTGTGGATTTCAGTTGTACGTTCTTTTGTTATTTCGATTATTATATCGTTTTTCGCTTGGGTTTTCGTTCGTTCTATTTTCTTTTGTGGGGTCTTGCCGTGCGCCATGCATGCTGACGTACACCTATTTTCTCTGGTGTACGTCAGACTTAGAGAAAGAACAGGTTCAGCTAGGAGATCGTCAGGAGCCGGAGGATTCTCAGCAGGAGTGCCTTGTAGATGGAGCAGAAGAACAAGTTAAAGTTTAGTTATTCCTTTCAGTTTATTTTGTAGCACCTTCATTTCCTTTTGATCAATGTATTTTTATATTCTCCAGTATTTCATTTAGATAGTTTTTGTATAAGGGCACGTTTGACCTGTATTATTATGTCTCGGATGTTATCCCATTTGTGATATGATATTTTTATTCTGAGTTTGTCTATTATATTATTGCTGATTGTGATTGAGGACCTGTGACTTCGCATTGTATTTATTTCCAGACACTTAGCGTATTGGATTGAGAAGAAAAGAAAAAGAAAAATAATAATGTATATTTCTTCTCAATCTAATACGTCCCGGGCTTGTTCATGTTCCAATTCCCGGGAATTTTGGGAAGCGGGGCGTGACAATGTCCTCCAACCTCCATCAAACGCCTCTAGGCTCTAACTATGAACACCTCCTTTACCTCCTCCGACCTTTAGCAAAACTTCCTCCATCACCACTTAAAAGATGAAAGAAATCCGACTAAGCGTCAGTTCGAACGCCTATGCTTTCTATAATATTTACATTTACTATCAATTATTATAATAAAATAATTAAAAATTGGAAAACCGCTTAGGCTCTCCCCTAGATGCTTAGGTTCTAGGCGTTGGGTCCAACGCTAGGCCTCCTAGTGATTTCTGTAATTTTGATTTTTTGTGTAACCTTGTTCCTTGGCTATCCATAACATGTTTGGTATTATTTGTTATTCAAGTTTTTCACCTTATATGCCCTTATCTTTTTCGAAGTATTTAAACTTTTAAAGAGTAAGAATGCATGTTATACATTCTCCTTTGGATTCATGTTGTGAATCCTTTTCGCCATTCAACTCTCAACCCATACAATTAGTTAAGCAATCAATATTCATTGTATAAAATTCATTATCAATTGGTTATACCATATGTATTCCAAATACCTCATTGTCTATGATTTTACTATCAATAGAAACCTCGTGAGTTGGTTGTTTTATACCTTACTAAATCCTTTTTTTTCTTAATTCTAAATTTAATTAAAGGTATATAGTTTGAATTAAAGAATTAAAAGATTAAAATTAAATGCCACATAATCAAGTTAATTAAAAAAAAATTTGAGAAAAAACACTTGATTTGCAATGAAAATATTTCGCAACAAAATATGCAAAACCAACTTCTTGATATCAGTAAACCGAAGCCATTTCCTTTTCCCGGTTTTTTCGATCCAATTTCTTGATAACCTCAAATACTATCGAATTAGTATTTAATTATATGATTGGTCATTCAAGCAATTAAAATATAGGTATGATCACGCAATTATGAGATAATTATAGTGACTTGTGATCCAATTAACCTGAATTTAAGGGTTGTTTGATTTGCTACAAAAGTAAATTGCAACAAATGTTGCATGCAACATTTGTTGGAGGAAATCAAATTCAAATTTAATGTCCAAATGCAAGTTCGGTGTTTGGCTAAAAAACAGTTACGCAATAGCTACAAAATTTTGTCATATAAGAAAACTTTGGTGTTGATGGTTTTCCTATTTGGATTTAAGAAGATATTTTTGGTGAGGTGGAATTATGTTTATCTTTTAATTTCTTTTTCCAAGCTTGTAGTTATTTCTCCCATTAAGTTGGCCACTGCATTTGTCACAATTTTTTTTTACAAAATACAAGTCTATCAATATTTCTAATTATAAAAGTATATATCAAATAACTTATTTACAAATCAGATCGCTTTATTCTCATTGCTAACTTCATTTCCACCCAACTAAATGGTTGAATACGAAGGGAGGAAAAAAAGTTCCGAAAATGTTAATAGATACTAATCTATGTGCACTTTAAACACGGACCCGGCCCATCTTAAAGGGACCACTGTTTTGAGTCTTTTGACCCATTTCCTTCCTTGCGTTCGCCTCTCCCTCTCTCTGTGGACTTTCTCAAGTCAAATAAAAGGGGCCTAATAATGTACATTTAACTCAAAACGCCGACTTAAGTTCTTTAATCTAAAGTATCAATTTACCGCTTGCTCCTCTCTCAATACGCAATTATGGCGGCCAAAACATAAACTCCCCTTGTATTCTATTTCCTTGGGCTCACGACCTCTACGCATCTATAAGTATTCTTGAGAAATGTTACCCCAAAACTAACAAAATTCAGCATTTTTCTTTTCTCTCCCGTTCCGTAGTAATGCCTCTACTCATACAGGAGGAGGAGAAGAAGTCTGAAGCAGATGAGGAGTACTTTGATCTGTTCAACTCTTTTAAGGAGAAGTCTGCAGGCTTTGATGGTTATAGCAAGTGCGAGTGGCTGAGATCTCAGGTTATCGGGGCCGATGCGGAGTTCGATGGGCCTTTTGGACGCCGGAGGATCACTTACTCCGATCACACGGCATCCGGGAGGTTCTTGAAGTTTGTTGAGGAGTTCTTTCAACGGAACGTCCTTCCTTTCTATGGTGAGCACATGTAGATATTAGTTGCATAGTTGCAATTATTTGGCTTAGTTTTAAAGTATTTATTTTTATAACTACAGCTGCGGTTATGGGGAATGTCTTTTGCAACATGTATGTATGTATGTATGTATGTTATTCGGTTTAGTTACGACTGCAAGTTAGCAACGTAGACTCAATTTGTCGCCCAAAAATGTTTCAATTGTAACTCATGTTCAAATCTTTATAGGTTGCCAATAGTAGTTTAAGGAATTTTGGAGCTTTAACTACATTTAGTAGTTGCAATGAAACAATTATTAGCGACTTGTGTAAATATCTCGGTCGAAAGCAAATTCAGTTACAAGAAAGTTCTGGTTGGTCTTCGAAATTTCTAATTACTGTGTGATTAGCAAAATACGACCACATACGATACTTGCTACAACTTGCCTTATTTAACTCGCAGTGTTTTAGTAGTAAGCGATTTTGACGCATAACGTTGATTCTTTTCTCCTCTTTCTTCTTTGCTTCAAGGGAACACTCACACAGAAGACAGCTACGTGGGCCTCCACACGACCAAACTAGTGGACAAATCGGCCAAATTGATAAAAAAATGCATGGGCTCAGGCCCAACCGACGCCCTCCTCTTCTGCGGCTCCGGATCCACCGCCGCCATCAAACGCTTACAAGAAGTCATGGGCATTGCCGTCCCCTCCACCGTCCGATCAATAATCCTCAACCACCTCCCATCGTCCGATCGATGGGTCGTTTTTGTGGGCCCATACGAGCATCACTCGAATTTGCTGTCTTGGCGACAAAGCCTGGCCCAAGTCGTCGAAATCGGGCTCAGTGACTCTGGTCTTGTCGATATAGATAGTCTCCAAGAGGCCCTCAAGTCTTCAGATTACATTGGACGGCCCAAGCTTGGGTCCTTCTCGGCCTGTAGCAATGTGTCCGGGATTCACACGGACACGCGGGAGATCGCGCGTGTCCTGCATCAGCACGGTGCGTACGCATGCTTCGACTTCGCCTGCAGGTATTACAGTTTGCATTTATTTTCATGAAAATACTTTATAAATTTCTGTTATTCAATATATTTATTTAACTAAAATTTTTTTTTCTAGTGGACCATATGCTAATATTGATATGAGATCGGGGCAATCGGACGGCTACGATGCGGTGTTCTTGAGCCCACACAAGTTCATTGGTGGGCCGGGGAGCCCCGGTATACTTTTGATGAGTGAAGCTCTATATAAGATCAAGGGCTCACCTCCCTCCACGAGTGGTGGTGGTACTGTTCTATATGTTAGCGGACATGATAAGAAGGTATTGAATTGATTCAATTGTGGGCTGAATTATTCCGTCTATAAGGGCCCGTTTGGTTCCCTTTTTTCTCCCATGAAACCATGACAAACCACTGCTACCGTTCTGATTTTTATCAGAACTGTGGCAGCTTCTGTGGCAGGGTTTCATGGGAGAAAAAAAGGGAACCAAACGGGGCCTAAATAGACATTCAATCATAACTATTGACGTAGATTCAAATATAACTATATTTGCAATGGAGAATGTAGCAAACTAAACAACATCTAATCTTGTTGCATATAATATTTGTACAGGATGTTGTCTACAGTGATGACGTAGAGGAACGGGAAGACGCAGGTACCCCGGCAATCGTGCAGAAGATACGCGCAGCAATGGCGTTCTCCGTTAAGGAGTGGATGGGACACGTGTTCATCCGAGAGAAGGAATCCTGTCTGGTGCAACGAGCGCTGCAGCGGCTCCTGAGCAACCCGCACGTGCGGATCCTAGGAAGCACTTGCACGGACAGGCAGCCAATTATCTCCTTCAACGTGTATCCAGAAGGGCAACGTGGCAAGCATCTGCACTGTCGATTTGTGACGAAGTTGTTGAATGACTTGTTCGGGATCCAGGCTCGTGGGGGTTGCGCGTGCGCTGGGCCGTATGGTCACGTGTTGCTCGGGATTGATAAAGCTCAATCAAAACTCATTAAATCAGCGGTTGAGAGGGTAAGCTTTTATTCTCTCGTCTAAACTCCCCTTAAGATCTTATCTTAAAATGTTTAGATCATCGGTTTATATTGTTTTCAAAAAGCTTACAATTGTAGCTCTAGTTGTTTGTTTGGTTTACTACAACTTTAATCTTTGCCGCAAACTTAGTGGAAGAAAGAGCGCATTTTTTAAAATAACTTGTGATTAGATTGATTTGCTTTCTTTGTACACAAAAATTGACTCATTTTTTTAAGACTAAATGTCAGAAAACACCCCTTAGCCCTGGATGATTATCAGAAAAACCCCCTAGCTTTCTAAATATCAAAAGAGCCCCTTAAGTTTAGGGGTTATCAAAAAAAACCCCAGCTTTTACATTTTATCATAAAACCTACTTAACTAAACCACATTATTTCACAATTAATGGTGGATAAAATTACATAGAGGCCGGGTTATCTTTTTGGTGAAACTTGCGATTGACACTTTTAAGGGGTTTTTTCTAATAAATCTTAAGGTTAAAGGGGATTTTTTTTAATAACCCCCAAAAATTTTCTTGTGCTTTTGGAAGCCATATATGGGGGGCATTATCTACTAATCATCCAAATTTGAAGGAGGTTTCTTGATATTCAGCCTTTTTATTAAACTATAATCACAATGAAACAAGCAATTTTAACGGTAATCATAGCTATTCTACTATTTTGGATTAGAAATTAACAGGAAAACCTACCGACAAAATCATCAAACTTAAAGAATACGAAACTCATTATTGATGTAAAAACGTGAAGTTAATTGAAGAGGTCCTTTGTTCTCCATGAAGGGATACAATGGGGTGAAGCCGGGATGGACACGTGTGAGCTTCCCGTATTACTCGTCCGCGGAAGAAATGGAGTTTGTGGTGGGCGCGGTAGAGTTCGTAGCCTCACGTGGGCGTCGCTTCCTCCCTCTCTACAGTTTTGACTGGAAAACCGGCAATTGGGAGTTTTCACACGATCACAGAAACACGTTACCGTTGGAATTGGAAGGGAAAATGACTAGGAACTACGACGATGTTATGACCTTCGCTAGGGGTGTAGCCGATGCTCTGCCAGATCTCGTCGTGGCGGGAAGTATTCCGGACTTTATCGATCCTCAACTTGTGACTTTCGTAGTATAAATTGGCGATTATGATTTTGGGACTGAAGTTGCACGGATATATGTATATTTTTTTACTTTCCTTATACAAGTAATCCATTTGTAATTTTGAGAGAAAAATATATTCATTTGTATTTAGATAAGCTAGTTGTCTGTTGTGGTGCAAACGTTTATAATGATAATCTGTATGAGTTCTACCACTAAAGTCGCTTTGGCCGAGTGGTTAAGGCGTGTGCCTGCTAAGTACATGGGGTCTCCCCGCGAGAGTTCGAATCTCTCAGGCGACGTACCGATGAAATTATTTTTCTTTTTCGAAGTTGTTGTTCTTCTTGTATTTTACCCCTTGATATTTCCCCCCCGAAATTCTTCTTCTTTTTCCTTCCCATGTCGAAACAATGAAGCTTGACTTATTAAAGGTTTATTCAACTGCAGCAAGTAAAAAATAAAAGGGTTTTTCCTGATATGTTCTCTGAATCTTAAGCATTTTAATTAAGTCTCCAAATTTAAATAAGTCCCTTAAATTTTATACGTTCATTAATCATCATATAGGGTGCTCGTAAGAGAATACGTTGGTTTTAACCTACAATAAACTTAACAGCGCTGAAGTTTTCCAACACACTCTCATCTTCTCTCAAAAATTCTGTTGTATGAAGCCAACTTCTTTAAAACTAGAAATCACTACATGAGCAAAATTAAACAAAACCAGACAAAGGAAAAGGAAAAAAAGGGGAGGGGGAAAAATAAACAATTAGAGAGAGGAGATGAAAACAAGTGGAAGGAACGGGAAAAGGTGAGAAGAAAGTAGGATTTTGATTGAGTTTTAGTAGTTTGAGAAAGACGACCGTTTATGTCTTGTTAAGAAGATGAGAATGCAATGATAAACTTCAATTGGAGTTTGGAACACCTAACGACATTTGAGATATTTATTTAAAATGCTTTAAGATTTTAAAGTACTTTTTTAGGATTAGTTTTAAAATATTTTAAGATTTGCGAACCAATATCAGAAAACGCTAATTAAAATCTTGCAGACCAATATCATCTTCTTGCTGCCATCTTGACGTCAAAAATTACCTTCCTTTTGCTAACGCATGACGCATTGTCCTCGGATTTATCTCAAACTCTGCCATTAAAAAAAATTCTGAAAATTTCTCTTGACTCTTATTTCATTGCAACTTACATGGAAAAGAATAATTCACGGACATGTTAGGAAAAAAAAGTACAAAAGAGCAACGCGATAAATAAATAACTAAGAGAAAGTAATTGTTGGCTTTTGGGGAGCAACTGTGATTTTACTGCTTTATAAAAATAGACGTCCACCCTCGCGCAGGCTTTAATGGCGATTTGTCTCTTGACAGTAAAAGACACTGGTTATGACTAGCACTTGACAATGTGGCGACTCCTCAAGACTTTTACTCGCATACTTGTTCCCTCTTTCCATTGAAGAAACTCAGGAGAAGGAGAGTTGTTGTAATTGATTTTAAAAGGATAAATTAATATCATGTAAAGAGATAAGATAAGATGAAGAAACTTAACCTTTTCACTTTTAAAAGATAACAAAAATCCAATAGTAACCACCCCAGCACCCCGCCGCCCCGGAAAAAACGGTGCAGGTTCGGGGATAAAAGAAGTATATCAAAAAAATATAATAAAACAAAAGAAGATCGGGCAACCTAATATTTTGGATTCAGAGTAGGTAGCTTTTGGTTTTTAACCTTCTCTTAGTGATACTTATCACTATCTGAGGGATTTAATAGACTAGGTCTTGAATTAGTCCTATTTATTAGATATTGATTAGTTCACACACAGTATGTAATCATCCATTGAGTGAGCAAGTTGGAGCGATAATGGTCATGCTTACAAATAATGTCTCATGAGAATTTCTAGGGATCAGCCCGTTATCCCCTAATCGTGATCTTCACTGTTTCTCCCATGTAGGTAAATCCTCCAAGGGCACTGCAATTGGATATTGTACCCCATACAGATCGTACATTGGACTTATTAAAATATAACTCATCCTAACTAGTTGCATCATATGAGCACTGTCATCATAGAAATGAGCTTGTAGCTAATATAGTGCAAATCATAAATGCATCTAATACTACAAAGGAGTATAACTCCAAAGGTCGGTGCTCTAGATGAGAATCACTAGTCCTACTTATTTCTGCTACATTGAACCTACTTCATGGTAACTGCTCGCTAATCAGTGTTCCTACTGCCGGTGACCTCATCTATGTGCTTAACCTCATCCCCTCGATGATTCTAGGACTTAAGCTCTAAATAGACCATTTGTCAAGTGGTATGCAATATCTTCCCGCGCCTTTGCAAAATCAAGAGTTAGCTTTCAGGATAGGTAGTGTCCAATACTATAAGCTCAGACTCTAGAGTTTCTTAGGGTTACTAGTGTATATGCTAAGGCTTCTAACTGGATAGACATATAATGACTGGTTTTGTTGGACATAGAAAGAAGAGATCCAATAAACTAAGAGTATCTATACTGGAACACAGGTTTACCTTCATTATCCTTCAGGACCATTGAAGAGTCTTAAGGTGTACTAAAAGATTAGCTTTTGAATAAGATGGATTTATGAAGTATCTTTTGGATTTATGAAGTATCTTTTCAATACTATGGAACATACTCAAAGAAATACTTCTAGAGGGTATAGATAACTTCATTCCAAGAATTAGCTTGTCCAAGTTTATTTATGTCATTCAATACAAGATCCAACATTTATAAAGGGAGGATAGAAAATTGTATTAACGGAAGATTTTATTATATTCAATTAAAAAATAACCGATCACAAACCCTTTTCTGATAAATACATTATTCTTCGAAATGATAAATTTATTTAATTCTCTTGCCTTCATTAGAATAGATTCACTGATCAGATTCCTCCAAAGTGAAGATACATGCAGGACACTATAAAGAGTTAAAGTATTTCCAAATGTCGTCTCAAGTCTAGATGTTCAATATCGTTCACTTGTATGGTGGAGTTGTTTGTTAGGATTATGCTTCCTCCACATGATTTCTAATAGGTTGAAAGTGGAAGCAAAGAGTTAAAACATGAATATAAGCTCCAGAATTTAACCACCAAATAGATAGTGAATTTCAAAGAAGAGAAGTGTCAACAAATTTAAAGGAATCAAAATTGTCTTCCACCATGTTCACTTTGTGCATTCCTTGTCCATTGTTTTCCTTGATATGAGCCTTGACAAGTTCTTTCTTTTAGCGGAAGCATTGCAAGGTGGTTGGTTCTCCCATAGACAAAATAGAACTTACTCTCAGAGTTATGGCTAGAAGGTCTCGAGTTTCTATGAGAATTTGGCTGAGAATGACTACCCTTCTTAAAGTTCTTGCCCTTAGGTTTGAGGTCAGAGGGTTTAGGGTTATCCTTCACTAGGTTGACTTTGGCTTTCAATTCAGACTTTGGTTTAGAGGTTTGCCTATGTTGATCCTCTATACAAATGGTTTTAAAGGCTTGAACAAGAATGCCATGGCGGAGATCCTTAGCAAATTTGGACCAGGAAGGAGGGAGTTCATCTGTAAGAAAAGACAACTTATAGTCTTCAGCAAAAGTGTTTCCTTTGGACTAAATATGTTGAATATAAATTCTTCAGTGAAAATGTTTCTGATGAGACCCCAAACTTGACTTCACACCAATGATGAATCAAGCGGTATAAAATCTCTACGTAATCACTAACGAGTCAAGCAAATACGTAGCTCAAGAATACCAAGAACGAATATGGAATTCTAAAAATAAGTGATCCTAATTTTATTGATAAATTCTCCTAAGTTTTCATTCACCAAAAACATGATAAAACCCCTAACACCTATCCGACCTTAAATAGCCTCTGTTTTGGGTTCCTAAATAAATCCTATTTATATACAAATTCCTACTCCTAAACAAATCTCTACTCCAGCAAATCCCTACTCCTAAAATTTTCACTTGTAATCAAATCAAATCATATTCAGACTCCAATTCCTTTTGCATGTAGCTTCTTGTAGTTATGCATCACTCAAGTATGATCACTCCTATACACTGATGGCTCTAGAATCATATCATTCTCCCCTCCTTCGATACTACACTTGTCTTCAAGTGTAAAATTTGGAAATCTCTCCTTAACCTCATCATAGTCATCCCATGTAGCCTCATCCTACGTCAAGCCCTTCCAATGCACTAACACTTGTCACTCCCTCTCTAGTACACTACTTTACCTAACTCCTATAGTGAAGCACATCATTAGGAACCAATAACATTTTAACCCCTTAACCAAATGAAGGCAATTTACCCACGAGCAAATTTGAATCCCCTACTTTCTTCTTAAACAAAAACACGTAAAAATTGGGTGCAAAAGTAGTGATGACTCTAGCAAATCTAACTTATCTGCTACCTTGCTAATCTGCTGTAGTACTTTGAAGGTCCCATAATACTGTTGTGACAACTTCACATTGAACTTCTTATTTAAGGATCTCTATCAGTATAGCTGCAAGCTTCAACCAAGTCACCTAGCTCAAAGGTCACATCTCGTCACCCTTCGTTATAATTTCTTCATTCGTTCTTGGGCTTTAGCTAACTTCCTCTTCACAACATGCAAAATCTCATCCCTAGCCAATAGCTCCTACCTCACCTCATCATTCTTTGTCATGACAGCCCCTACTGAAGCATGAACTCTTCCACAAAATGGTCCATTCTAGCCTCTTGCCCTCTTTTTCACACTGTGCCTTCAGCCATCTCCACCAACTGTTTGCTCAACTGTCAAGATAAAAACTTGCCAACTCCACTCTCCTACCACCTCATACATGTTGAAATATTGGTCGACCTTGTCTACCCATTCTTGTGGATCACCATCCTCAAAGTGTGGAAAGTTAATTTTTGCTCTTCTAGGCCCTTGATCCTTTCTTATTCTCTTGAAACCCCTTCTCGAATCATTAGGTCTCTTTCAATTTGACAAAGTTTGATTATCAGTAGTCGATGACTCTCCTTTCACCATTGTAGATGGTAGAATTCTCCTAACAAAAGTACCA